GCAAGCACTGCAACGGCAGGGGCAGCAAGCAGTGTGAGCGCAGTGCAGTTGCAAAAGAAGCAGACAGATGCACCAGAGTCTAGCGTGAACGAGAGCGCGGTGGTAGCGGCCACAGGCGGAGGAGCTAGAGTAGAGCCGAGGTTTAACAAGGCACGTGGTCCTACGCTTGGCGCAACAGGGGAACCTTGACTATATACAGTGGACACACCTACACTAGGCAACACAAGGTAACAAGGTCCATTCACACTAGAGTTATCAACATACATGACATACACATAGCAGGCCTAATCTAATCCATGTCAATCTCAAAGAAAGGGAGACAAAGACGCACCAGGCTGTACCAATCGGGGGGGGTCCGACGTGGGGCCGAAACGGAGACAGAAGTGGTTGTCGAGGCAGCGGTAGCAGCGAGCGGCGGTGTGACCAGGACGGTCGCAGACGGTGTCGCTGCGGGGGCCGAACTGAAGCTGGTACTGGCAGGTGACCACACTGGAGCCGCTACTCGACACCGAGCTGCGCGGCCCACCACTACGCCCACCACCACCTGCACTGCCACCACCGTGGCGGGGCCCCCCACGGAGGCTGTGTTGCTGCGACGAAGGCTGCTGCTGCTGAGGCTGTTGCTACAGCTTCTCAGGGGCAACGGCCCCGGTCCCCTCGTCTGCACCACAATCCCTGCCCCCACCTCCACCACCCCCACCACCCCCACCACCCCCGCCACCCTTCCCTCCGCCACGCCCCCCCTTGGGTCAGCGACAGAAACGTCAGAGTATGTGCACTGGGAGGGAGAACAGCCCTGGAAGATAGGGACTGCAGTAGTACCGCTAGACTGAGCGATAGTGCACTGGCGGGTCTCTATTGCGGACAGGGCTATGACAAAGGCAGTAAGGGTGAGGTCACCTGGGTGCTGACAATGGAAGTGGTCGTGGGCAGTGGTTAGGCAGTAAGGAAGGCACGTGGCAAAGAGGTAAAGGGTAGCGCAAAGCGGCGGCGGGAAAGCAGTGAGCTATGCCTCAATGCTAGCGGCACAGTAGGTAGTCTCAAGTGCGCGGAGGTGAGTGGCGCGGTCAGCTACAATGGGGAAGGGCGCAAGATCAGGGAACAGCATGGGGAGGATCAGGCGGCTGACAGAGGCTCAGGAGGGAGTAGAATACCGCGCAATGACTGCATCTAAGTAGTCCTTTACGTTTGCTACAGCGGTAAAGCGGGGACGCTCAGACAGGGGGAGGGCATGACTAATGGCAAGTTGTGCAATGGCGTCGCGCGACTCTTAGACGGCGCAGGCAAGCTCAGCAGCGGTAAAAGCCTCACGCTGAGCAGACGTGGGGGCGTCAGGGAGGGCAGCGGGTGTAGCGGGGCAGGGGAGCTTATCGTCGATATGAACTGCCAGGGAGTGGCCATCCTAGCGCTGACCGGTCAGCTGGCGGCGGAGGTCGACAAGCCATGCCTCAAAATCAACGGCCCGACCCTCCGCGTCCAGGCAGAGCACTGAGTCCGCCATCACCACGGCTGCAGTAGCTGACTGCCGCTGACAGGGGGAGGAAAGCGGTGGAGGGCAATGGAGAGCGGTGGGGAACGATGGAGTGCGGTGGAGAGCGGTGGAGTACGATGAAGAGTGGTGGAGACACTCGGCGGGAGTGCCGGCTCAGAGGAGAGCCAAGGCGTCACGGCGGCATTGCGGCACGGCGACTCGGCGGCTCGACGGCGCGGGCCGGGGCCGACGAAGCTGGGGCCGGCAGAGCTGGGGACGGCGCAGCTGGGGGGCGGCGAGCAAGGGGCCAGCAAGCTAGGGGATGGCGAGCGAGGGGCCGGCGAGTGTGGGGTCGGCGAGCGCAGGGCCAGCGAGTACGGGGCCGGCAAGAGCGGGGCCAGCAAGCGCGGGGCCGGCGAGCGCAATGCCAGCGAGCGTGGGGCCAGCAAGCATGGGGCTGGCGGGCGCGGGGCTAGCGAGCGAGGGGCCAACGAACTTTGGGCCCAGCGGGCGCGGGCTGACAATCGTGGGGCTATGGGCAGCCGGCGGCGACGGGTCGCTGGCGGCTACGGGCGGCCAACGGCTATAGGCGGCTGGTGGCTACGGGCAGCCAGCAGCTACAGGTGGCTGGAGGCTAAGGGGGGGCACGGCAACGGGCGGCCAGCGGCGGTGAGCAGCGAGCGGCTAGCAGAGGCGGCTAGCAACAGGCGGCTAGGAGCAGGCGGCTTGCGACGGGTGGCTAGGGCTAGGACTAGGACTAGAGCGGAAGCGCGGGTGGGCGGGGAGGACCTAACCTAGCGCATGATTCCATCTTAGAGTAACGAATTCACTATAAAGTGATAAACACGTTAGGTTTGTGCTATGAGGTTGTACTCTCTAAGAGTACGCACCTATCTAGCCTACAGTAACATATACACATATGTTTCATGAAACAGCAAGACGGGCAAAATGCATGCGGCTCGTCAGGAGGCCACATTTGGGTACCGCGATTTGAATTTCGTGGCAGAGTTGCGCGGCAACCCCGTTATTGTAGTGTATGCCAGGCCCATAGTTATCAGGCTTTTTACATCGATTTTGTTTTTTTCAGGGTGTTCTCTTTGGTCAATTATATATTTTCATATATAATTGTAGGCTTGGTAGTTGTGCTACTTACTGAATCCTACTATAGAGGGGACTAACCCCTTCTTGTATCTCCTTCTCTTCTATTCTTCTCCCTTCTCTTCCGATATTTTTTTCCTTCCTAAACCTCACGTCATTCCATGGCTTCCTTAGCTTCCTGCCTTTTTAACATCGTATCAGAGCTGGTTCAACCTGCTGGACCTTCTTCTCTCGCTTCCGCCGCGCACTCCTCTCTCTCTCTCTCTCTCTCTCTCTCTCTCTCTCTCTCTCTCTCTCTCTCTCTCTCTCTCTCTCTCTCTCTCTCTCTCTCTCTCTCTCTCTCTCTCGCTGCCATGGCGGTCGCGTCGTGCTGCTGTGGCGGCGTCGTCGTGCTGCCTGGGATCGTCGTGCCGCCAGACACATCGTGCTGCCGCGGCCGTCTCGATGCGCTGCTGTGGCAGCCTCGTCGCGCTGTCGTGGCGTCGATGTCAAGCCATGGCGGCATCGTCAACGTCAAGCCGTGGCGTCGTTGTCTTGCTGTCGTGGCGTCGTCGATGCGCCAGCGTACGAGCGGCAGCGGGCGGCGCACCGTGCTAGCCGCATCCAGCGCGCCCGCACGCCATTAAGTGATGGCGCCGCCATGGTGCCGCGCTAAAGATCCGCCCCCCACCCCTTCCCCCTTCCCCTCCTCTGCCCTTCCCTTCCCATCCGCTCGATTGCCGAGGGGTCGACCGGCTGGTCGACGCCACTGCTGCTGCAGGGAATGGGGGTGCTGGGGTTGGGATGGGCTTGCCACTACCAAGCCTAGGGGGTGTGTGTATGTGTGTGTGTGTGTTTTTTTTTTTTTTTTTTTTTTTTTTTTTTTTTTGTAGGCTTGGTTGTTGTGCTACTTACTGAATCCTATTGTAGAAAGGACTATTCCCCTTTTTGTATCTTCTTCTCTTCTATTCTTCTCCCTTCTCTCTCGATATTTTTCTCCTTCCTAAACCTCACGCCATTCCATGGCTTCCTAGCTACCTAGCTTCTTTGACACTCTTATACCGACCCTGATTAATAAGCTTTGAAAACAAAAGAACCAGGGCCAACCAGTAAGAAAACCACTACCAAAAACTGATTTTCAGGGTTTTTTTTAGATCGACACTGATCAATCAGCTTGGCCTAAAACGAATTTGTGGGCCTAGTGTACGCCTTACTGACTAAGGGCACGTAACATTTTCTCGAACATGTTTCGAACCGAACCACCACCATATTGTACCACGTGTTTTCCACTATAAATCTCATGTACGCTTACGAGGCCGCGTGGATCCTTTCTGAATGGTCGACTCTGAAGCGTGTTCGCAAGAAATGTTACACGCCCTAAAACCTGTGATAAGGAAATACCATTTCCTTATAGAGAGGATGTATATAATGAAGTTTGGTTCTATTGGCAAAATAATGTAAAAAGTTGGTGGGTAGTGAGGGAGCGGTTCACAGACGGGAAACGTGCAAGGAGTTTTCGGGGGGCGCTCCCGTACCAAACCGCCGTACCCACTTCCGTGCCAGCCGAAGCGTCCGAACCGAAGCTGGACAACTGACCGAGCCTCAAAATGCGTCAGCCAGTGACCGAGGGAGCCCGCACCAGGCCAAACAAGGGACCAGCACCACCACAAGTATGCAAATCAAACGCGATTCGCCAACTTCCTGGTAACCTTACCCTGGGCAACCACCGGGGCGGCGAATCTCGCGAAACGCCATGAAGAGTTTCGGTAAGGAATCGACGATCGTCGTTCACCACGCATCGACGCCTCAACCATGAGTGCTTTGTCGCATTGGGAACCAGGGCTCTGGCTAACAGGGTAATTACTCTTAAGGTCACGAAATTAAGAGCTGGTTTCGACCTGATTCCTTTTTTCTGCATAGTAAAAGGCATTTGATTCCGTCTGCCTAACGGATTACTTTTCGTGTGATTCCTCGACATCGCGGGTTACTTTTCTTTGATTCCGTACGAAGTGCAATTGCATTAGGAGATCTGTTTGTAGTGGTTTATCACCCCTTCACAACCCCCTCTCTACTCTTCCCAACTCCTCCACTAAGCAAAGCGCGAGGATAGTTGCCGGGAGTACTTCTACTCTTCCAACTGCTCAGGCATTGTATGCGCGAGAAACAGTCCCCGGGGTCTCAATGGCTTTTCCTTAGCCCTAGCCAAGGCCATTTGCCTTCAAGGATGTTACAACTCCAGTATCAAACCAAGTGTAGCTTTTCGACGAATCCGTTTGCTAACGGGTAATCTTTCGGAGATTCCGTCCGCTAACGGGTATTTACGGGGTCGATTCCGTGACCTAACGGAATCCCCTAGGCTTAGCGAGAGCCCTGTTGGGAACTCCTCCGTGTTCTGTACAAGATAAGAGCGGTGGCAGGACGAACAAACTCAAGGCAGGTGAAAGCACAGCACACCAACACAACAGCCTCGGGTCGGGTAAAGCGAAGGTCAACTAGCTTCAGTACTAATGCCGACTTGCTTGGCTACCCAGCGGATCAGTTGTGGGACATCTGGAAAGCCGTTCAGTCCGTATTATAGCTCAGCCAGGCCAGAAGGAGTTCAGGTTTCTGTTCCGTAGCAGCTTGTTTTCATTATTACTAAAATTTCGTCATTAACCTCCAGTGCATGGCCGTCTTTTATCCCTCACGCGACTGATCAGGCAGCGACTCTCTTTCTCTTTAATCTAACAAACACTTTACGACGGGAAATAGTCTAAGAACCCTTCTTTCTTATCCGAAGCGTAACAGCTTCAAGTAGGGTCAGTACCCTCACTTCGCCAGGTCTTTTATCCCTTCCAGTGCATTTGCCCACTGATCAGGCAGCGACTCTCTTTCTCTTTAATCTAACAAACACTTTACGCAGGGAAATAGTCTAAGAACCCTTCTTTCTTATCCGAAGCGTAACAGCTTCAAGTAGGGTCAGTACCCTCACTTCGCCAGGTCTGGCATAGGATGGGGGAGCCCTGGGAAGGAGCAGCGGCTTGGAGCGGACAGGAGCAGCACGCCCTAGAAGGCGACCTAGGCAGAGGTGGGGCCGGGAGAGGTGCCGGAATGAATAGCGGATACGGTGCAAATAACGGCATGCTGGCGCAATCGCCGATGGGTGCGCAGGGGAGAGGGGGAAGGCGCGCTCTATCCGTTGATTACTCTCAGCGAGCGGCGACTGCGCCTATGCAGGGCCGGGCGCCGGCTGCACGGCAGAACCAGTACTCGCATGTGCACGCCCCGCAGCAGCAGCAGCAGCAGCAGCAGCAACAGCCTATGAAGTCGCAAGGACTCTACCCTGTCAATGTGCGTTCTGCCCTAGCATTCTTCCAATAGTGGATAATCGCAGTAGTGCTGTTTTTCCTTTCTTTCTTTCCATCTTTCTTTCCAGGCCACTGCGCGCTCTCTTTTCCAGCACGCTTCCTTGCAAGTGAAGTTCTCCTAACTCAACTCCTTGCGTCATCTGCAATTAGGTATCCCTCCCCCCCACCCTCTCTCCCCCCCTCCCCCCGGCCCTTCCACCCCCCTCCCCCTCCCCCCACTACACACGCACACACACCCTCACCCCGTTCCCTCGCTGTCTGCTTCTGTTCGTTCTTGTCTTTTTACCTTTGTTGACTTACACGGTGAGCAGGAGCACGAGGAGCCCAACAACTACTTCAACTCTGCTAGAGCCGTCCCCACACATCATCATCAGCATCACCAGCAGCAGCAGCAGCAGCAGCAGCAGCAACACATGCATCAGGCACCACCGCCACAGTTCCAGCAGCAGTGGCAGCAGCAGCAGCAGTCGCAGCAGCAGGATATGGGGGGGTATTCTGGCGGACGCGGCACCCATGCAGGTGGTGCGATGAACCACCACTTCCAACCACAGCTAATGCAGCAGCAGCAGCCGCAAATGGATATGCAGCAGCAGCAGATGCAACAAGCACAGGCGCAGCATCGCAGAACGAGGTCCGCCGCAGTCACCACCATGCTAGGCCAGCCCGACCCTTTCACCCCCACTGACCCCAACACCTCCCCCCACTTCCCTCCGGCCCACACCCCCACCGCCGCCACCACGCCCTCCACTGCCCCCGGCGGCGGCTTCCCCGCACCTGCAAATCACCCAGCCATGGCCATGCGCCCAGGAACAGGACCTGCTGGGTACAGCAGGCAGGGCGGGTCCGGGGGCGGGGGCGGGGGCGGTCCCCCTGCTCCGGCGCTGGTAGCAGCCATGCAGAGCATGAGTCTGGGTAGTCCGGCTCTGGGACCGGCGCATGCTGCGGGGGGGGGGAGGGCGGGAGGGTTTGGTCCGGCGAGTGCTCGAGGCAGCAGCAGCGGCGGCTTCGGGGGGCCTGGAGGGCCTGCGGGGCCTGGAACGCCTGTGGGTCCTGGCGCGGATGCTGTTGGTGCGCAGAACCAATGGCAGTCAGCAGCAGGAGGCGGAGGCGGAGGAGGCGGAGGAGGCGGAGGAGGAGGCGGAGTAGGCGGAGGAGCAGGCGGAGCAGCAGGGAACCAGGCTGCCCCTTGGGAGCAGCCTCCGGACGAATCCTCCTCCACGGACGCCCGGTTCAAGCCGAAGAAGATCCAATCGGGTGGGCACACGTGGGAGATGTTCTCGGGGCCCAGCATGAACATTCTCAGGCGGGAGGACGACGCCGACCTCACCCCCAACGAGCTCGCCACGCTCGTGGCCGCGCCTGTGCGCCCCACCGGCCGCCACAGGCGCTCTAGGTCCGCCATGCCCGTGCAGGCGCAGCTGCAGCAGCTGCGCCCGCCCTCCACGCCCGAGGGGAGGGTGCCTGGCGCGCTCAGGGCGGTGGCCGCGCTGGGGGCAGGCGGAGGCGCTGGGGGCGCGGTAGGGGGAGGGATGGGTGGCGGGATTGGCGCGGTGGGGGGTGCGCTTGCTCCTGTTGGCGCTGGGAGGGGAGGGGGGGGGATGATGGTCTCAAGCCCCATGGGCGCAGGTCCAGGCGGAGGTATAATCACAGGGGCAGGAATGGGTGGGGGGATGGGTGGAAACATGGGTGCAGAGACGTTTGTAGTCGAGGGGGAGCATGGGGAGCAGGGCGAGCAGGAGCAGGAGCAGGAAGAGGAAGTGGCGGAAGTGGCGCCTTGGGATATGGACTCTTCTGGACCTAACCACCAATCAGAGTCGCTGCTGGTGAGGGCAGATGATACCGGCCCGGGCGCCGCTAACAGCATCGGGAGAGGTGCTGCTCCTGGTGGAATGAGAGGGGGCGGAGTCAATGCACCCTTTGATGGTGCTGCTGAAAGCACGGCTGGGGTTTTTGCTGGCGGTGGTGATGCTGGCGTTGGTGGCGGCGGTGGCGGTGGTGGTTACAGCATTCCAGGTGGTAACATGGTCAGTGGTAACACGCACGGCCTTCCTGCTCGTGCGTCCACTGCAGGAGGCCGGCCCAGTGGTAACTACCACTTCCCAGGGCCGCGCCAGCCCCACTCACCCATGCACGCCCAACCGCAGCAGCAGCTACAGCAGCCGCCACCTTACCAGCAGCAGCAGCAGCAGCAGCAGGCAATGCAGGGCATGGGTATCGGCGCCAATCAGTGGACGGGGAACGCGCTGGTGCCAGACCAGCGCGTTGCAGCAATCTCAGGGCGGCCTCAAACGCGTACGCCCCCTGCAGGCTACAAACGGACCATGAGTGGAGGGCTGGAAGGCAACCCAGGAGGAGGGGGAGGAGGCGGAGGGGGAGGAGGGGTAGGAGGAGGGGTAGGGGGAGGGGTAGGGGGAGGGGTAGGGGGAGTGGGGGCAGTGGGAGCGCCAGGGATGGGGTTCGTCCCGGGGGGGATGGTAGCTACTGGCGGTGGTGGTGGGCGGGGGCTGTCTCCCCACCGGCGCTCCCAGTCCATGAGCGTCAACGGCTTCATGCACGCACCTTCACCTTCCATGGTCTCCACACCCATAGGAATGGCTGGCCCTGGCATTGGTGGTGGCGGTGGCAGTGGGCCGTCAGGAGGTCGTCCTGACTTGAGGCAAGCGGGCCGGGCTTCTAGCTTTGTGGAGCAGTCACATCAGCAGCAGCAGCAGCAGCAGTATCAGCAGCAGCAGCAGGGACAGGTCTTCTCCCCTGCTGCTCGGCCCAACGTCCCGGGCCGAGCGTCCAGCTTTGTGTCGCGCCCCGAATACCAGTCCGGCCCAACCAACATGATGGGTAGCGACGGTGCTGGTGGTGGTGGTATGGCTAGGCCGGGATCCGGCCAGGGAGGCATGGGGCAGGGGCAAGGCCGGCCGTCCAGTCCCCTGGTTCTGCGGCAGGGGCAGGGGCAGCAGCAGTTTGTGCCGAGTCCTAGAATGGGCCCCGGGCCTGCAGGCTCGGGCCGAGGCGGAGCAGGTATGGCAGCAATGGCAGCAGGGGGGGGAAACAACATGGGCATGCGGTCGGGCATGGGAATGGGGCCAGGGATGGGCATGGGCATGGGGATGGGGATGGGTCCCCCTCCTGGCAGCCCTTCAGGGGGAGGGCGTATGGGGCCTGGGGTAGCAGGTGCAGGGCGGGGGGGAATGCCAGGTAGCCCAGGGGGAAAAGGGGGGGCGGAATGGGGGGACGGGGGGGAGTAATGGGGGGTGACGGGGGATGGGGAGGCGGAGGGCGAGGGAGAGGGGGAGGGGCGGGCATGGCGGGGCCTAGGATAAATGCGGGTTATCAGATGGGGGGAATGGGGCATAGCCCCCTGGGGGTGATAGGGGGGCAGGGAAAAGGGGGGATGGGGGGACCAGGGGGATGGGAGGAGCAGGAGGAATGACAGGCATGGGAGGGATGGGCGGGATGGGGGGAATGGGCGCGCCCATGGCCCCTGGAGCAGGGCATGTGGGTATGGGGGGTGGGGGGATGGGACCCATGTCCGGTCTCCCCAGACCCGCTTCTGCTGGCGGTAAGATGATGACAGTAGGGGGAGGGGGCATGGTGGGAGGAGGTGGGACAGGCGGGGGAGGGATGGGTGGAGGAGGGAGAGGTAGGGGAGGAGCAGGACGAGGGGGGGGCATGGGGGTAGGGATGTTTATGGGAGGGAGAGGAGGGAGAGGAGGAGCAATGGGGCGAGGCACAGCAGCGGGAGGAGGAATGGCAGGAAGAGGAGCAGCAGGAGGGGGAGGGATGGGCACGGTGCTAGGGAGGCCGTACGCGGACGTGAGTGACTACTATATTCTGGATGGGGACGAGGTGGGGCGGGGGCGCGTGGGCAGCATCCGGGTGTGCGTGGCCCGAGATACTGGGGAGCAGTTTGCGTGCAAGACCATTGCCAAGGACAGGCTGCAGGTGAGGACATAAAGGGGCTCTGACGAGAGGGGAGAGGGTGGGGGGGAGGACGGGTTAGAGCCAGTTTCTGAGTCGACTTCAGAGCATGCAAGACCATTGCTAAGGAAAGGCTGCAGGTGCGGACATAAGTGAATTTCTGACCGGGGGGGGGGGGTTCGGGTTAGAGCCAGTTTCTAAGTCGACTTCAAAGCATGCAAGACCAGGCCAGGGACAGGCTGCGGGTGAGCCGGGGGGGTTGAGAGGACAGTGGGTTGTCGTGTGCCAAGGGTGGTCTTGCAGCCAGTTTTGGAGTTGACTCAGTAATATGCAAGACCGTCGCCAAGGAGAGGCTGCAGCTGAGGGCAACTAGGGGTTTCTGACGGGAAGGGAGGGAGGGGGGTCAAGAGCCAGTTTGCTGGCGAGGGTGAGAGAGCGGGGAAGGGGGGCAGGGGGTGGGGGGGACGTGTGCAAAGAGGTGGTGGTTATGGAGCTTCTGAGTAAACATCTTCACTTTCTCTCTCCATTCCCTCCCTCTGACTTTCTCTGCTCCGACTCCCCCCTCCCGCCCCCCCCACGCACTGTCTCTCCCCTTCCCTCTCCCCGGCTGAGATTCCGTCCCAACTTCCTCTATATCTCCACTTCCTATCGATTCCGATTTCCTACTCCCCTCTCCCCCTCCCTTCCCCCCTTTCCGTGGCAGTGCGAGGAGGAGGTGGAGGACGTGTGCAAGGAGGTGGTGATGATGGAGCGGCTGTGTAACCATCTACACTTCCTCTCTCCGTCATTCTCCCATCCCCCCCACGCACTCTCTCCCCCTCCCTCCCCCCCTGGCCGTGGCAGTGCGAGGAGGAGGTGGAGGATGTGCGCAAGGAGGTGGCGGTGATGGAGCGGCTGAGGGACCACCCGCATGCTGTGCAGCTCGTGGGCATGTTCGAAGACGAGCAGGTGCGGGGTGATAGGTGGGGGTGATGGTGGCAGGCGGGTGAGGCTCAACCGCATGCCGTGCAGCCCGTGGGCATGATGTTTGAGGACGAGCAGGTGCAGGGGGTGGTAGGTAGCAGGTGAGAGAGGTCGACCAGACTGCAGGGAGTCGTTCAGAACGCAGTGGGCATGCGCAAGGCAGGTGGAGGGATCAAGGGATCAAGGGACCCAACCGCATGCCGTGAAGCTTGTGGGCATGTTCGAAAACGAGCAGAAGCGGGGTGGTAGGTGGGGGTGATGGTGGCAGGTGAGGCTCAACCGCATGCCTTGCAGCCTGTGGGTGGGCACTGGGCGTGATGTTTGACGACGAGCAGGTGAGTCGGCAGCATCGCGTTCTCGCTCTCCTGCCCTTGCACACACACTCACATGCAGTCTCTACCTCCACTCGCTTGCAGTCTCTACCTCCACTCACACGCACACTGACGCTCCACCGGATTCTCTTTATCCCTCCGTCCCTCTATGTCCCCTCCCTCCCCCCCCCCCCCCCTTCCTCTCTCCCCACAACCAGAGCTTCCACCTGGTGATGGAGCTGTGTGCTGGCGGCGAGCTGTGGGAGCGCATAAAGCACCCCTTCAAAGCACTCCCACCCTCCATCCCTCCCTCTCATTCTTCTCCTACCTACCACCATTATCTCCTCCCCTCCTCTTCCCTCCCCCCCCTCCCCCCCTCAGAGCGTGCACCTGGTGATGGAGCTGTGTGCGGGCGGCGAGCTGTGGGAGCGCATAAAGGCGCGGCGGTGGTACGACGAGGGCAGTGCGGCGGCGGTGCTGCGCGTGGTGGTGGAGCTGCTGCGCGACTGCCACGCCATCGGCGTCATGCACCGCGACCTCAAGCCCGAGAACATCCTGCTCTGCACCGAGGAGAACGACGTCGATGTCAAGGTCATTGACTTCGGCGTCGCTGTCTTCTTCAAGCCAGGTGAGAAGCTCGTGTGTGACAGAGGGAGGGGCAGGGGGTAATTGGGGGGTGGGGGGGGAGGGTAGAAAAAAGGGGGAATGGAGGGCAGGAGAGTGGGAGGACACGGGCACACACACGCAGTGTGGCGGCGGTGCTGCGTGACCATAAACCCTAACACATCCTGCGCTGCAACGAGGAGGACAACGTCGATGTCAAGGTCATTTGACTCAGGCATTGCTGTCTTTTTCAAGCCAGGTCAGCTTGTCACAAGTATTGAGGGGGTGGGTGAAGGGGGATTGGGAGGGCGAGAGAGAGTAGTGGTGGGAAGGAAACGAGGCGCCCAGAGAGAAAGGAGGAGAAGGGGGCAGAGAAGAAGTTCATGTCTCTTTACTTACCTGTGCACTCCGCTCACTGCCTTTTTCTCTCACATGCATGCACTCACGCTATCTCTTACACGCACCTACACTGCCTGGTCACCTCAGCCACCCATCTCCTGCACCCCTGGTTCACCCCAATCCTCCCCTCCCTTTCACGTGACATGTACTCCGACATTGTTTCAGCCCTTTCTATACCGCCCCCAAGGTGCTGAACAAACTCTTAAGGGGGCTCCTTTGTTCCTCAAAAGGCCACCCCTCCCCTCCTCCCCGCTCGACCCTCCTCCCCTCCCACCACCACCCCTTACCAGGCAACGTCTACTCGGACATTGTGGCCAGCCCCCTCTACATCGCCCGCACGGCGCTCCACGAGCTCGTTTGAGAGCTCCTCTTGTACCTCAAAAGGACAAACCTCCCCCCCCTCTCCTCTTCCGCCCCCCCCCTCCCCTCCTCCCCCTCCTCCTCCCCCTCCTCCTCCCCTCCCATGCCTTCCCAGGCGACGTGTACTCCGACATAGTGGGCAGCCCCCTCTACATCGCCCCTGAGGTCCTCCACGAGGCGTACGGGCCCGAGTCCGACATCTGGAGTGCAGGGGTCATCCTCTACGTGCTGCTGGCGGGCGTGCCGCCCTTCCGCGGGGAGAGCGACGAGGGCGTGTTCCAGGCGATCCTCGAACAGGAGCCGGACCTGCAGCGGGCCCCCTGGCCGGATGTGTCGGATGAGGCCAAGGATTTGGTGCTGCGCATGCTGACCAAGGACCCCGCCCAGCGCATTACTGCTGATGATGTTCTTGGTGAGTGATGTGGGGGGAAGGGGAGCTAAGGGGAGAGAAGTGGAGATGGAGCCAGGGAGCTTGGTGTGCTAAAACCCGATGGCAAAATAGCAGAGGGGGGTCCTTGATAGTTGAGTGGGTGCAAAAAAACTAAGTCCCGAAACCTGGCGAAAAATCGAAACGCCCCAGTGCCCTAAACTTTGTAACTGTCGGGAAAAAAAAAATGGATTGCACAAAGCTATTGGTTGTACGAAAGTACTGGCCGATGTGGGCTTGACGCCTGGCGCTTCGTGCAGCCCCCCTGCGACATTTGTCGCACACCACGTGGGCCTCGACTTTTTCTGCAGGGGGTTTCAAGAGGGACCCCCTCTGCTATTCCTGTTTTCCGTGCCTTCTTGGGCGAAAATCAAGTGGGGCCCCCACTTGATGTCCAAGTGGGGCCCGTTTTGACGTGGCAAAATCACGTGTCACGTCGTGCAGCCCACGACCTGCACCGCGACACGAAATTCGCAAAGCACAATGTCGCGTAAAAAATGCCACCTGGATTTGTTCTGAGTGTCGAATTGTGCGGGCTGCTGCCCAGCTCCGAATAAAAAAACGAACCTCGACACAAAAAGGGTGCTGATCAAGGGGGGTCCCAACTTGATAACCCCTCTGCTATTTTGCCGTGGGGTTTTAGCTGTAGAGTTTGTTTGGCAAACTTTGTGTATGTCAGCTCTGTTTCCCCTCCTTACCTGGACTCTTGGGATACTAGCTTGAAGTTGCTTCTCTTACCCGTCTAATCGATGTGTTGCATCTTTCCCCACGACATTTCGCTCAAATGCAATTCTCACACCCGCTGCTCTCCTCCCTGCATCTGCTTGTGTGTCAGATCACCCGTGGCTCAGCATGTAACTGTGGCCCCATCTAATAGTACGGTAGCGCTGAGTGCTAACTAAATTAGTTTATAGCAAACGTATCAGGGCTCGGATTAGCGATCCTACTGACCCATGCGATTGCTTGATCCGAGTCAACACATTGAAGCATGATAGAATAAAGTACACGTAGATTTTACAGCAACATTGTTGGTTTGAATGTGGGAATTAAACCATTTAGCTCTATAATCTACCGGTATATGTGATAGGTTATATATGGCTTCGTTGTTTGAAATGGTATTTCCTTATCACGGGTTTTAGTTAGTAAGGTGTACACGTCAGGCCTCAGGAGTAATGAGTTGAGTATGATTAGGGGATACAAGGGGATATAAGCTAAGGTACTCTCTACGAGCATGCACCTATCGCATCTAGCCTATAACATATACCGGTACTGTTATGAATGGGACTGCCGAGTAGCGCAGAGGGCAATGGCGAAACTGTGAACGAGTGAATGACAATAAAAGGAAAAACAACACAATATATAGAAAGCCTAGGGTGATCCTGGCCGTAGGATCGGAAGGTTAGGGAAAAGTGTCGAAGGGCCTCGATGTGTCGTAGCAAGGTCCGGAAAGGCCCAGGATGCTCGAACTGAAAGGTCTGGAACCCTATCGCTGGTTCGGGACTGTTCGAGTCGTACGCCCTGTAGCAAGCCTCAGTAAGGAATTCCTAATTCCTTACAGGTACAATAATATGTTGATACACCCCCTAGGCTCGACAAGGGGCAATGACTAGCACAAGACGCGCAGCTCAGGGTGGCACTACTAGTCCAACCTCTGCGACGAGGGTCTGAAGACCAGTGAGCAAGAGTACAAAGGAAACAAGAGTAACCCATGGCGGCACTACTAGTCCAGCCACTGGAACAGGAGCCACAAGGCCAGTCAAGATAATATAAGTAGTAGTACACAATCAAGGTCCTAGCAAGTGAGAAGCTACAGAAACTAGACCAAGCTGTACGCAGTGTCGCTGATGATCTTCGTTGGCACCGGAGGCCAAGTGTACTACGCGGGCCTCGCGGCGCTGCTGTAGCTCGCGCAGGAGGAAGTACCGCACCTGGATGTGCTTTGCTCTGCCCTCCAGGCGAGGCTCCTGAAACAGGAGGATCATGGCTCTGTTGTTAACGTACAGGACCAGGGCAGAGCTAGGTTGCTCACCTAAGTCTGTGAGCAAGAAAGTCAGCTAGCGGAGCTCCTGTGCCGCCATGGCACCGGCGTAGATCTCAGCCTCAGAGCTAGACTGGACCACAAACGACGAGCGAGTGGACCTCCACGAGATGGCACCTGTGTTAAAGTGAGAAAGGTTAATTAGAACAGGACATACAGGGGTATATAGCCTAATGGGTTGTAGTCCCTAAGGCACAACCCTATATAGTCTACTGTAACATACAATATATGTTTGTATGTTTGACACACCCCCTAGACTGGATAGGGGCAATGCCTGATGAGAGAGAAACAGCTCAGGGTGGCACTACTAGTCCAACCTCAAAGGCAAGGGTCTAAAGACCAGTCAAACAAGTACAAACAAGGTACGAGCAAGACCAGGGTGGCACTACTAGTCCAGCCACCAGAAAGAGGCCACGAGGCCAGTCTGGGTAATACATATAAAGGTCTGTACACTATCAAGGTCCTAACAAGTGAGAGGCTACATGAACGAGACCTAGCTGTACACAGTTCCGCTGATGATCTTTAGGCGCAAGTGCCTGAGTAAAAATATCAGCCGTTTTTGCACCGGAGGCCAAGTGTACTACACGAGCCTGGTGACGCTGCTGCAGCTCGCGCGGGAGGAAATACCGCAGCTGGATGTGCTTCGCTCTGCCCTCAAGTCATGGCTCCTGACACAGGAGGATCATGACCCTGTTGTCGGCGTTTAGAGCCGCGGCAGAGCTAGGCCGCTCACCCAAGTCGGTGAGCAAGAAGGTCAGCCAGCGGAGCTCCTATGTTGCCATGGCACCTGCGTAGATCTCAAACTCACAGCTAGACTAGGCAACAGACGAGGAGCGGGTAGACCTCCACGAGATGGCACCTGCACCAAGGCTGAAGGAGTAGCCCTGTGAGGACTTGAGAGTCTCGGCGTCGTCTGCCCAAGAAGCGTCTGTGTGTCCAGTAAGGACCACTGGTCTCCGTCCTCCTAGCACTAGCCCCATGCGTGATGTACTTGCTAGATAACGCAAAACCCTCTTAGCTGCCAACCAGTGCTGTGGTCGGTGTCTGCGTGGGGCCACAAATCGAGCCAGGATGCTGAGAGGGTATGCGAGATCTGGGCGAGTGAAAGTCATCAGGTACATGAGGCAACCCACCAGCTCTGTGTAGGGACCACTTGGCTCTACAACCTCCTCTGGGAGTGGGGCAGAGAGTCTTTGGTTTACTGGCAGAGGGGTGGGCTGTACGGAAGAGAATTGAAGGCCCAACCTCTGAAGGACCTGGCGCACCAAGTGTGACTGTGAGAGAGTGATGGTGCGCACTGCTCTGTCCCTGGAGATCTGCAAGCCAAGGTAGTGGCACAACTCTCCTAGGTCAGTGCAGGTGTGTCTCCTCACCAGCTCAGCCTTCACGACGGCCAATGCGTCTCTGTCTGCAGTAGCAAAGACCAGATCGTCTACGAAGACAAGGATGTAGAGCGGATTCTGGCCGGAACGGACAAAGAGCGAAGCGTCTGCGGAGGGAAGAGCTGCAGGGCATCAAGTGTGGCACGCAGCGTGTCGTGCCACTTACGGGGCTCCTATCGCAAGATGTAGACTGGGCGCCGGAGGAGCCACTCGGTGCCAGGGGGGAAGGTACCGAAGAAGCCCTAGGGGCAGCACAGGTAGACCTTCTCGTGTAGACAACCCTGGAGGAACGCTGTGGAGAAGTTAAGGGAGTGCAAACTGCAAACATCAACATGGCACTGGGAATTCTCAAGACGCAGAGGCCGCTTACGTTCGACTCGAGCCAGCGTGGCAGTTTGTTCGTTAGCGGGTGGATTTTTCACCTGAACGTTTTTTATGACTGCAACCTCGTCAGTGACGACGCGCTGAAAATATGACGCGCTGTGTCGCTCCTATGTGGACCGGCAATGGATTTGTGGCAGCATATAATTCAGCCACAGCAGCCGGATATGACATCGCACGTGATCGGGCGTTTTCGCAAGACCAATCACTGGGAAGGAAGTTATTGCAAAGTGGACAAATACAGCACGTGGCAATCGTGGTGCACGGGAATGCGTCGCCAGTTCGAATACGTCAACGCAAGCAGTCAAGCGTGCGACCGCAATCAAGAAGTGGAATCAGGGGCAGGGGAGTTCCAATGACCAAGGAAACGTTTAGTATCAGTAGTTGGTGGGCCTACTTCTGATGGAACCTGTCTGCCCGTGACGGAAACCGATCATCGAGTACTGGTACCGATCCACGCAATCGACTAAACTCGGCTGAATATGGAGGGTGCAGCGGCAGATTACTCCATTTATTTAGAGGGTAGGGTTCAAGGAAAAAAAAAAAAAAAAAAAAAAAAAAAAAAAAAAAAAAAACGTGGACGGGGGAGCCAACCATAGCCCGATCAACCTTGCCACAGCCAAAAAATGAAGTTACCCTTAGATAGGTGTCTACCGGAGATTGACGTCCAACTAGTCGATGGGACGCCACTAGCAATAACGGACAGGGTGGACAAGATTAGGGTACGCTGCGGAGCGGAATTCAATTTTTCGATGAGGATGCTGGCGACTACACTCGAGGGCTTTGACATATTGCTGGGATAGGATTGGCTGCGACGTTGCAATCCGAGAATTGATTGGACGACCGGCAGCTGTTCCGTCAAAATCAACGGTCGCAGTGTAACGTTGCCAGAATGGACGAAAGGGGATTATAGGGGGAGTGACGCAAGTGAACTCCATGGCGATCAAGCCCGCAGTCGCACGGGGCATAGAAGTCTTCGCTGTAGTCGTTCGCGCCATCGACGCAGCATCGCAACCGTCCGATCAAAGCTGACAGCAGCAATGCCGGCCGATTTAGCGCAGCTGATTCGCAGTTTTCCGCAAATATTCCCAGACGACTTGCCCGAGGGATTACCACCGGAACAGCCCTTTGACCATAGAATAGAATTAGAACCAGGGAGACAACCCACAGTGCAGCTGCAATTTCGATTGACACAGCCGGAGTTAGAAGAATTACGGAAGCAGTTAGAATATCTACTGGAGAAAAATTTCATCCGCTCGAGTTCCTCACCATTTTCTGCCCCCATACTGATCACCTCGAAGAAAGACGGCGGGTACCGAATGTGCATTGACTATAGAGCACTGAACAGGGTGACTATGAAGTCGCGTTACCCTATCCCGCACGCCGACGAACAGATTGACCAACTTTGCAAAGCTCGCTCCTTATCGAAAATAGGTTTACGAAGGGGTTACCATCAGATTCGTGTAGTCGTAGCTGGCTGTCACAAGACTGCATTTCGTACTAGGTACGGGAGTTCCGAGTATGTAGTTATGCCCTTCGGTCTGACGAACGCCCCGCAACTTTTCAGATGACCATGGACCAGATCGTCAATTCGACTCGTAGATAAGTGTGTTATAGTCTACCTAGATGATATATTTCACCACGGCGAGGCCCGGGAGCAGCACTTAAAGGACCTTGAATAAATTTTCACTCTACTGCAAGAGCATCGGCTGCTCACAAAGGGGACTAAGTGGGATTTTTTAAACGACCGCTTAGAATTTATGGGACACGTTGTTTCCACTAAGGGCGTCGAAGTGGACCCGCGCAAAATCAAGACAGTGCAAGACTGGCTACCGCCTTCAGGAGCTGCAAATTTTTTTTGGGTTCGTCAACTATGTTCGGAGATTTATCCCAAATATGGCGGGGGTAACTGCACCGTTAACTTACCTGCTGAGGAAAGGGACTGAATATAGGTGGGGGGAGAAAGATTGAGCTGTCTTCTCTGCACTCAAAACGTTTCTGTGCTCAGCCCCTGTCCTTCGCATCGTCGATCCGGACTGTCCATTCGTAGTGATCACGGATGCCAGGGACATCACCATCAGGGCAACACTGTTATAGGATTTCGGTGGTTAGATTTCATGGAGTCCAACTTCCACTGTACGGTTACCTACGAAAAAAGGGCATCGGATATTGCTGACCTCCTTTCTCTCCCATCCGTCCATCTCAACTCCATCATCCTCGCCCAAACCTCCCCGCTATTAACAGACCTATTTACCCACAGATTCTTTACGTCGGGTGCGTACGAACAGCTC